CCAGCCTGCTCATCATCCATCTCCTGATCCTGCTCCTTCACATCCTTCGTGCCCTTGCGCTTCTTTCTCTTCAGCTTCTTTCCCCTGGCAACTTGTTGTTTCTTCTTCTGGGGCTGTTGCCCCTGCTCCTGCCCACATTCCTCATCATCTTCATGGTCCTCCTGGTCCAGCTCATGAAGCAAGACAAGAGGTGGTTCTTCATGGCCACCACATAGATCCTCCTGATCACGCATGGCTGCACACCAATATAATGTATTGTAGGGTTACTATATTTATATAATAGAATTTTACAAATCATGTCACACACGGCTCCTCCACCAAATCATCGTCACACTCATCAAACAGCAGCTTGCGCCTCACACCCCTGGGGATTGAGCTTTGACCTGCTTCCCTTTTCTGCTGCTCTTCCTTGTTCTGCGACCCATGGTCCCTCTCTTCTTCTCCTGCATCGTCCTTTGGCCCATGATCCTTCTCTTCTTCTCCTGCATTGTCCTTGGACTCATGATCCTGCTCTTCTTCTCCTGTGTTGTCTTTGGACTCATGATCCTGCTCTTCTTCTCGTGCATTTTCCTTCGGCCTTCCTCTCCTGTTCTTTGCTGCAGCTTTGGGCCCTGGCTTGGATCCTGTTGCCTTCTTGTCCTTTGTTTTTTTGCTTTTGGCTTTTGGCTTGGGTGCTGTCTTCTCCTCACGAATGGCCTGCTTGTCCTCCTCTTCCTCCTGCTCAAGTCTCAAGGCCTCAGGCAGAACATCATCTAGGCATCGATCATCTTCTCGCGGCTGCACTGCCTCTTCTTTCTCATCACCACAAGCCTTTGCTTTATCCTTTGCTGTAGCCTTTGCTTTTGACTTTCCTTTTGCTTTCGCTTTTCCTTTTGGCCTGCCCTTCTTCTTAGCAGGTTCCCCTGCTTCATCACCTTCATCCTCCTGAGCTTGACGTGCAGCACGGCGGAGTTTCCTTTGGGCCTGTCAAGTGCAACCAGATAACATATAATGTTGAACAGATAATTACATTACCTACCATTTGCTTAAGAACCCCCCAAAAAATAAAAATAATAATCCCTATATTATCCCTATATATAAGGAATATATGTTTTATTTTTTGGGGGGTTCTTAAGCAAATAGTAGTTACATGTGCCTGGAGCAGGTCGGGATCCAAAGGCCCATGACTCTTCTCGATCTCTTCACACACAGCATTACTTTGCCCTTCCAGGGAGTCCGGCTTGGGGCGGAGGAGCGACATAGGGATATTCTGCAATGGTATCCGCCCATCGTCCTGCAGTACAATATTCGATATTATAAGTCCCATCCACACGAGACACTGAAGTGGAAACAGTCCTTGCAATCTGCATGATCTGATTCTTCCTCCTGGGGTCAGGTTAGATGCAGCAGCTGATCGGGAGCATGATCGACGAGAAGTGCTGTCCTCTGCGGGCTCCTCGTCTGGAAGATGTGGATCCTTGCCGCACATGTGGTCGACAGGTCACACGGGGCTAATGAAGGCTTATATTAGAGTATTAGGGCTGCAAGCCATGCCTTCGAAGCTTCCTTCCGAGGGGTCGATGGCACAGCCTGTTCTGGGGTGTTTCAGGAGAACATTATAGACAGAAACTCGACTGATGCCTCTCGACGCTTCTTCCTGCAGCTGCTGTTCCTTGCAGTCGTTGGTGATGGTCTCTTCGGTGAAGGGGTCGGGGATCGCGCGGGGCGGGGAACCTCAGGAGGACTTTAAATAGTATCATGAATATATTCATCCAAATGAAGCTTGGGCTGCAACATCTGCTGCTCCAAGGTGCTCTGCTTCCGGCTCTGCAGCCTCGATATTGCTAGCACAACCCCATGAATGCACATTTCAACCCCAGCTGTGATTCTGACTGCAGCAGTCGCTGTATCATCATCTCCCTGGCACACATGCAGAAGTTGATTATGTGGGATGTGAGGCCACAGTCCGTAGCACACTGGCCTGCAGAGGGGCAAGTCGTAGGAGCTTCTCCTGTAGTTATAAGATGCTACATCGTTCTATATACTCCATATCAGACCTGGCCTCCCGAGCATGTTCACAAGAAGCTTCGTCCTGATCGCTGGCAGAGCACCCAAGGCTTTGGACCGAGATTTGCATCAAATACCCTGGCCTCATTGTCACTTGGAACAAAGATTGGTTGTCGATGGGGTTCCACATAGATAACATCATCCCCATCATCATCTTGCATCGGCTCGGAAAAGCCTGGGCGGGACACTGTGTGCAAACACAGGGCAGGTTACATGCCATGAACATAAATATATGTGCCTTCAGTTGCGACTTGAGTCTCCATGTTGTCTGTAGCCACATCCACCTTCTTGCTGTTCTTTCGTACCAATTCCTGACCAAGGAGGAATAGCCTTATTTTATATAGTAATTATATAGGGATTGGGAAGGTCTCGCCATTGTAAATTAAGCCCCTTGCTCCCCTGGTCTTCACAGTGATCTCCTTCAAGCTTTGCATCTTTTCTCGTCCCGGCCTCGCGAAAGGGCAGGAGTTAAGAGTATTATAAGGGAATACATATATTATTGTAAAATAGACCCTATAAAACATAATAATTCGAACCTGAACTATATAATAAATCTAAACCCAGTAGCATCCAAACCGCAGCGGCTTTTGGTCTGAGATGAGAAGCATACCCTTTGCAAGTCTACAGCAAGTAGGGAATTAGGGGTACTTATGGTACCTACTTTGTGGTGCTAGCATCGATACATAGCAATTAGGGGAAATTTGGAGGATTGGGCGTAGGATCATATGCTTACACTCCTCTCTGGAACTTATAACTACACCCGCTTGGATCCCAACCTTGCACCGTCGTTTTGACTCGTCCTTCGGTGTACATAGGACGCCAGGGCTCGATGGAGGGAGCCTTCCACCTGCGCCCAGTCCTTCAGTGCATGTTAAGACAGCAAATATGCTATCTGAATAATTAAAGGTATCTCCTCCACATCCTTCTTGGGGCTTTTTTTCGAAACCAGCCCATAGTCCACAGCCAAGGCAGCCAAAGCCACCTGGCAAGGAAGCAATTCCAGTAGCAGCCATCTAGATGCTGTGCAAATGATATCCGGCCTGTGATTCCTTGGCAGTAGGAATCGTCTCGAAGAGCCCAAGATACTTGAGCAGAAATATGTAGTTGGCATCTTGCTGCTCGATCTTAGTACATGCACCGAACTGCTGCAATGATCATGCATGATGACTGCGCATGCTGACTCGGAACATCTTGCTCGCTGATGGATGTTTTCCGGATCTCCACAAAGGAAAAGTTGATCGGAACCTGATGTTTTGGTCAGCAATAGCATCACATGAAAAATGCACATCGACCGAATCTGGACCGAAACCAAGCTATTATAGTAAGTAGCTTAAGACAAGCCACACGTCCACGTTCTCGGCACCTTTGAAGCTTTTTCGGGCCTATGCCAGCATCCTTTGCGATGCTCTCGAAGCGCTGCTCTTTCCACACCGTATCCTCTAACATGCTCTTGTAGAGCTCCTCCCAAGCGAAACTTATCATGAAAGCAGATTGAAGCCAAACTGTTGAAGCCACGTGCACGCCTTCAGCAACAGCACCGTTGCATCATTCGGCTTTGAGGCAGGCATTGCGACACAGAGGCCAGCAGCACAGGGAGCCCCAAGTCTATTTTCAGCAGACCCGAACCCACATCTTCAGCCCAGAAGGGCTGAGCACAGAACCCAAAATCCAGTTTTGCTAAGGATGCAGCATGCAGCGATGATCGGTCCTTCATGTGCTGATGAGAAAAAAAATGCGGATCGAGTTCAGGTCATGGCACTTAGATCTAAACTCCGGCCCCAGTACAACCTATATGAAAACCCGAGGAGCTATAGATAGATTAGGCGTATATATGGGAAGAAACCCAAGCTGATCTTGAAACATTCTCGAACAGAAGATTCCTCAGCAGCAAAACCATGCCAGGAGCACAGTCATCACCTGCATCCGTATCATCAGATATCCAATCATCCTGTGCCACCTTCAATTGTTGGCATCCTTAGCTTGCTATGGGTCCCCTCGTCCCGAAGCCACAATCTAAAGCAAAGCAGCCTTGGATCAATTGCAATGCAAGCTGCGTTTGATAAGAGCTTTCCGCATCAGATAACCATCTATACGATGCCAGCCCTTGGCATCGTATACAGCTAAGAGGATCCGAAAGCTGGCTCCCAAGAACAGTCGTACACTTAAATGAAATGCATCCAAGCCTCGTTCCATAAGTGATATCTGCATCAGAGATCCATGCGCAGAACGACAGGCCAAGGTGCCAAGGGATGCTTTATTCCCATGATCGTGACAACTTAAATCTGGGTGTAGTTCAGGGCAGAGGACATGTGAACTTATCGGAATTCTGATTTCGGCCCCTAATCTGCAAGCGTTCTATGTGTGCATGTTTGATAGAGAAGTTAACCTAAATCGAACTATTTTCGTATTCAGATAGTCAATCGGACCCACCTTTTTTCCAGTTACAACCTATCTGTAAGGGCCAATGTGACATGCAAGCCTACATTGAAAGCAGCAATTCAACTCCATAGAAATGCATGCAACCTTGCTGAAATCAGGAGGGAACCCCGCAAGAAATGCTTTGGAATAGATTGAAAGGAAGCTGAGCCCCAATAGAAGTGCTTAGAATTATATTAAGACCCAGGATTTACACCAGTAGAAATGCTTTGGACTGGAGTCCAAACCCACACAATCATAGGAGCTGAAAATGTCAGCAGGTAAAACGAGGCGGTTGCGACACAGGCAGTAACCTTCAAGTTAAACGGGGCGGTTGACGAGCAGGGTATACTGAACTTAGAACCGTAGCAAAAATTTAAATTTTAGCTGTTTCTTTGGGATTATAATAACAGAAAATTAAAAACCATTTCTATGTACCCCTGAGTATACTTTGGCGGCCCAAATGGCTAGTAAGAGCCTACTATGTTGGTACTTGGACCGTTTGGGCAACATCATCATCCATGACGTAGGTTCCCGGCAGCCGGCTTCAGCGCTGGTGAGTGCACAAAAGCCATCTGCACTTTTGGGTTTTAGGGCTTTCTGCTTGGGGCTTTAGGTTTTGAGGGTTAAGGTAGAGGGCTTACATGTCTTTTGCGGGTTTTACATGGTGTGTACCGAGTTCTGTTAAGTTTTACTGGGTATCACATGGTTTCGAATTGATGTTCGTCCTGGTGTAGGGTTTAGGCTTGTGGCCTTCGAGCTTCATTTTTGTCGGGGTTGAGCTATGAAGCGTTTATGCTGTAAGGTCGAGGGATTAACTACCATAGCGACCCATCCTTTTCGCTAATTTGCATGGCTCTACATTACACAGCAAGCGTCCGCAACATGGATATGTGAAGTCGCAACCCAACCCTGGAACTCTTCGACTTACAAAACCTTATATGCCCCCCAGGCTCTGAACGAGAAACCCTGGACTTTACCTAGAGGCTCATACCCTACCCCCTTTGTAGAGCGCCTACTTTTCAAGATAACAGATCCTATAACCATAAAACTAGGCATCCTAAAAAAAGGAACAGGGTATGAGACTCTATAGGTAAAGTCCAGGGTTTCTGGTTTAGGATCCTAACAAAGGGGCAGGGCATGAGCCTCTAGGTAAGCACTCAGATCCGAACCCCCCTTCATCCCAAACCCTGCAGCTCAAACCCAAAGCCTCAAGAAACCCTTACACTAAATCCCATAAAGTTGGAAACCAGATTAAGGCCAAATAGTGCTGGGATTCCCTATTGCATTACTCTTAAGGGTCGAGGCTATTGGGCTTCCAACTTTTAGGCTTCTACTGTAGACCAGAAAGCCCTGGATACCCAAACTCAACAGAACCCAAAAGACCTTATTCCCAAGTCAAGGAAAACCCCTAGTTGAAACCCTGGGTGTGGTGATTATAGTAAACCCCATGCACTGAAAGACTCAGGCGCTGCATGTATAAGTACCTCTGAAAACCGCCAAACCACTTTACTAAACAAAAATGTCGGTCATAGAAGGCTCATGGAACTGTGTCAGCGCCGCTTTAGATGCTAGGCCTTCCCGGAGAGCAGAAACTAGTCCGTGCTTTTGGAATCACGTCCAATATAAACTAAGGCGTCTTTCTCATCAACCCTGATAAAGCCAAGTAGTTAGATCCCCTCTAAGTACCGAGAAAGCGCTGAAGGTGTATTCCTGAGTTCTCTGGGTCTCTGCCTGGGGCAGCAAGGAGCCCTCTGCGCTGGCTTTGGCGCAAAGGGACCGCCGAAGCACCGCCGCTGGCGCTGGGTCCAAGTCGGCGGCCTTCTATCCGTACAAGGCTTCATGTACCTATAATACGATATATATATATATATATATATACATAAAAAATATACAGAGACATTGAACGGCTCCTATATAGGCGCTTTCAGGCCTTAGTATACATGCATGTCTATATGTACGTACATAAATATATATATATATATATATATGTACATATATATATATATAGAGAGAGAGAGAAAGATAAACAGACAGATGGATAGGCGCATGGAGCCTTAGGGCATGGGATCTACGCCAACAGAGGCGAAGTTGCCCTTCCCATGGAGTCTTCAGGTTCCGGGTAAGGGGCGGTAAGGAACCCTAAACCCCTAAACCCTGAACCCTAAACCCCTAAACCCTACACCCTAAACCCTACACCGTGGCGCTGTCCATGATTAAGTGAAATCGGATTTTACAGATGCCCAAGACTGGCGACAGCTGTTCTTTCAATATCCAAGTTTTGACATGACGGTAGCCGCAGCACGTTACACAAAAGCGAGCCATCAGTTTGTCATTCCCGAAGAACAAGACATGCCCCTGGACCCAACAACCTACCTCGCTCCCCCCCGGCCTGTATCAAGGAGTCGGCATTCCTCAGCTGGAGAGCGGCTGCGAAGAGTGTGTAGCCGAGCCCTAAACTCTAAACCCTTCTAGTTCTACACCTTGTAAAGACCAGGGAAAGAGTGAGCCACTGGGGGCAAGGCGATGTTTGCGTCAGGGGACTCGGGTCGACTAACACTCATGCTTGGTAAGGCTTGTGTTTTTCCTTGCCCAAAGGGTCCAAGTATCATTATGGTATATACTTAGATCCCTAAAATACCCTATAAGTATAAACCATAATGATACTTGGACCCTTTGGGTTGGTTCCGAGGCCCGCGTGCGTGATCCGAGGAGAAGTAAAGGTATGTTTTGCTCCTGGGACTTACAGGGTTGAGGGTCTCCTTTGTAACATGGCGAGCAAAGCATCAAACGCCGTGTGCTCACGTAGAGCCCGAATGATTATGCTTAGAGTCTCCATTGTAGTTCCTTTTTTTGGATAACCAAAATCTCTATTATAGGGTCCTGACCATACATCTGGTTACCCAAACAAAGGAACTACAATGGAGACTATAGGTAAGCTGTCTTATAGGTACTTAGGCCTTACAGGGGTCCCGATATCGGTACTATTTAAGGCCTAAGTACCTACTATATGGGCACAGGGAGCCTTTTGGTTATGCCCCTTTCTGCAAGTGCCTGAATGCTCGGATCCCTCTACTTCTTTTCTTTCTCAAGGGATACGGCTGATGATACAAATCCTGCACCTTAAGGTCCCCTAAACTATGGGAGTTGTGGTGTATTCCTTACTATGGGTAGTGCAGGATTTATATCATCAACCGTAAGGGTTTCATGACGGGGGGATCACCGTCTAGTTTACTGTTTGCCTTACTTCTGTCGCGGTTTGTACCACAACGGAGACAGGTCTGGAAAGACTCAAAGCCCGAGGAAACCCAAAGACGAAACCCGTACACCCTGAAGCCCTAGAAGACTTAAACCACAGAATGCCAGAAGCCAGAATCCCACCCTACGTCCACAAGACCCTACAAGCCCTAAACGGTCCCACCCCGAAGCCCCGAACTTCGCGAAAACCAATGAATCCAGAAGTTAAATAAAATTAAACCTTGATTTAATTGTTCGGTTTTGACATA